GGGTTTATAAAAGAAGATGAAACCCAATAAAATTATTAATTTAAATTAAAAGTGCTATTACAATAAATAATAATAATGATAATATTTAATAATTATGAAATGATAATTATCTAATAATTGTGTATTATTATTTTATATATTATTATATTATATTATATTATAAATATTATTATTATCATTAATGTTAAAAATAGTCTTCACAAAGAAGGTTTGAGAAATTATTCTAATAATAAAAAAATTATAATAATTATTAATTTTAACATATTTTTCACAAAGAAGGTGTGAGAAATGGATAATTTTACATTTTATTTCATTTTGTAACTTATCATGCTTTTTATTTCAAATGTTAAAGTATTATTTTATTATTATATTTTCCACACTTTCATGGGAAATTAATGGAAATACATTTTTTACAGAATTTTAAGCAGTCATGAAAATGTAAAATTTGGGTCAAAGAATGGAAAATTCCATGTTTAGTTCTAGTTTTTCAGAAAATTGTTCGGATAAGTGAGCCGTGACCAAAGCGTAGGACCCTAGGCTCAAATAAAGTGTGCATTTTTCAACTTTGACCTTTGTCCTTTACTCAAAAAGAGGGCTTTTCTTGGATAAGGCTTGGGTTTGACACCTAAAGTCTTGTCCTGCTGGTCATCGTGCCGTCAGCAGCACAGGGAAACTCATTTATTCTGGGTAAGGAGGGACAGCTATCTAAATGAACTCGGGCTCAAATCCCATGATTCCTCTGTGCAATAAGAGCACTCACTAACTGACACAAACCATCCCTGTGTTCAATCTCACAACGCTTGCTGTTTAACAGACCTTCTACTGTAGCTCAGTCAGTCGTGTGTGTGTGTATGCGGTTGTGCACATTATCTGATAAGATGTTCAAAGAGGCAGATGAATTCTTGAATGATGGTCTTTTGGAGTGCTGTCAGCGCTGTACATTGGAGCATCCAGCCCTGCAAGATGATTTAATTTGTGTGCGCACTTATGATTGGTGTGTTGGGTCTTGGGAGACGTCCCAGTCTTTGTTTGTTTTATGTATGGTTTTGTTTAGCTGATGAAAGCCCAGGCAGGTGCTGTTCTTTCTCTCCTCTCCTGTTCTCAACATTCTCAACTCTCACTTACACTGTATTAGCCTGCTTCATACTTCAAAAATCTGAAATGTTTTGTTTATTTTGTCATATTTGCTGATTTGTTTTTTATTTCAATTATATTATAGAAAACATGATTTCAATGTTTTCTATAATATATTGTTTTTTTCTTATTTTATTTTTATTTTGTTAAGTTTTGTTTTCAGCCTCAGATTCAAACACTGAGATGTTTTGTTTAGTGTTTTTTTTATTTCTTGTTTTGTTTGCTTTATCATATTTATAGATTTATTTAACTTTATATTTTATTTAACTTTTATATTTGTTTTATATTTTTATATATTATTTTGTATTTTTGTTGGTTTCTCTTTAGCTTTTTCATGTTTTATTTTTAATTTAATTTTTATTGTTATTTATTATTTATTTTATTACTTCATACAGCTTCAAAATGAAAAGCTTTGTTGTTTGTTTTATTTTATTTTAAATTATATTTTCAGTTTTATTTGTTTGTTTCATTTTATTTTTTTATTTTTTTGTCTGCTTTATCATATTTGCATTTTATTTTAAATCATTTCAAAGGCATTTTAATGTAAGGTTATGAAAGTAGAGCTTTTTCCCTCCAGCATAATGTGCATAGATGAATCATGCACAAAACAAACAGAGACATTAAGGAATTAAATATGATTTCGTGTTAGTTTGAAATGACTAATTAACAATGCCCAAAATACAAAGGCATAAACAAAGTTTGCACTGCTTGTTTATAAGTCAGGAAGTACTCATTATCAGTGTTTTATGTCTTTTTATTGTTTTTTTTCCCCAGAGAGGGAAAAAATAGGTTTATGTTGTTATCATGTTGTGCATCAAACTAAAGGCATTTTCTGTCAAGTCAAATTTGCAGAGCTTTACATGAGCTGCTTTCAGTCCTTATGCGTCCATTTATCCTTTGTTTCTCTTTTTTCTTTGTGTAGGAGGTAGTGAGGGTCAAGGCCTGATTCTCCAGCGTTTCCCAGAGAAGGACTGGGAAGATAACCCCTTCCCTCAAGGCCTTGAGCTGGTAAGCCCATCACAAACAAACAGAGGATATCCCAGAATTTACAGATTTATCCAACAAAATTGAATGAATCTGGCAGTGTTTTCATAGCATCTGATGAAGACATCTTTTTAATCTCGTGGCGTCTCTTTCAGTTCTGTCAGCCCAGTGGATGGCAGCTGGATCCCGAGAGAAAGCCTCCGTCTTTCTTTGTGTCGGTTCTCACAGACATCAACTCTGAGCGGCATTACTGCGCCTGCTTCACTTTCTGGGAGTCCGTGGAGAACCCGCAGGTTTGTGCCGAGCACGTGCAGAAATTATACAACAGGATACAACGGTGCTGATGGTTGGGGTGATTTACTGCTGTGTTAAAATGGATAATGGTGGTTGAGGAATCGCTTTTTTTGTAGATTGGCCATCTAATGTTTAAGTGATTTAAGTGTAGTAATTCTAGGTGCAGTTTGAGGGTGTTTTATTTGTTGTGTGTGTTCAGCTACAGAAAGGAGAGGCCAGTGAGGCTGATGAAGATGAGAGTCCAGACGTGCTCCAACCCGCTCAACTGTACGCTCCTAAAAGCCTGGTCCTCGTGTCCCGCTTGGACCACACAGAGGTCTTTAGGGTAAGAGAGAGACACAAAGTTGCACATGACAGAATCTAAAACAAGTCAGGGCTCAACAGTAATGTTTTTATTATTTTAGGCTGCTATTTTTTCTGACCTTCACAATAAAGCAACTTATTTTGTATATCAGGAAAAAACGGATTTTTTAGCTATCTAAATAAAAATCTATATTTTTAATTATTATTATTATTATTATTATTTTCATGTAATCTTCACAAAAATAATAAAACAATTATATTAACAATGTTTTAAAATATCTCACTGACCCTGATCATGAAAAAGACATTTTATTTTATAAAAACTTTTGTATATAAGAAATAATAAAATTTTTGAAAAGTTGCATTAAATAATAAATAACAAAAAAATAAAAAAACATTAATAAAATTACATTTAATAAAAATTTTATAGCAATATCTGGAAATTGTACATTTAAATTGTAACTTCGCAGTAGCTATTTGAAACACGATTTTGCTGGAAAACAGTGGCAAAACTATCAAAATATTATTTATTTATTTATTTAAATATTACTTTTTTTTTCCCAACACCCACTCATGCAACTGAGTATTTTTTATAATTTTGTCAAAATCTCATCTGTGTTAACCAGTTACCTTGGTGAAATTAAAGGGGTCATGACATGGATTTTTTTTAATTACTTTAATATGTTCCTTGAGGTTCACTTATAATGTTAATAAAGTTTTTTTGCAACAAAAAAACAATATATGTGGAAAAATGACTATTTTTAACCCTCATTCTCAACCACTGTCTAAAAATGCGAGTCCTTTAAGGCTGGTCTGTAATCGGCCACTGTTTTGATTGGCTAATGTCATTGCATATACAGAGATGTGAATGAACCTTTTAAACCAAACACGTCACAGCAAACTTTCTTTCACTCCTTCGTTTGTCCTATTGTCGACAGACTCAAGCGCGTGGGCTATGTCAGAAAGTGAACGCGCATCTGTATTCTTCTGTATTCAGTTTAGACAAGACAGCGGCAGTCATTATAATGGGTTCTATTTGTTTTTGACTTGACGTGACGCAACGCTCGCATCTAGTGTAGGCAAGTCTCGCCAGTGGGCGTGGCCTATAGTGAGATGATGACTATTGGTTGATGTCTTGCCTTGGAGGCAGTGTATATGCAAATGTTTGTGCCCTTGTGACATCACATGCCACCTCGGATCCAAACGAGCTGTTTTTAAAGCTTGATTAAATAAATGCTTTGTTTATAATGCTGAGGACGTTTTAAGCTATGAAACTTGCAGGATGTTTTAATGTTACAAAGACCTCTTATATGCCAAAAGATCAAGGCATATTTCATTTCTCATGTCATGACCCCTTTAAAATCCCCCGATTTTGTGATGTTAAACAGAAAAGCAAATTTTCCGCAGGTGTGCATAAATGCATAAACACCTTCAGGATGTAGTGTTTTACACATGTTCCAGTAATGTTGAGCCAGGAAATGCAGGTTCGAATCCAGCCTATGGTTTGTCATAATACCATTTCCCTCTTCTGATCATTTCCTGTCCTATCTCAATCTATAAAAAGTACAAAAAAATTGCAATAAAGCTATGATGTTATTAGATTTTCCTGTATTTAAACTCAATCTTGTGTCTCTTTACTCTGCAGAACTGCTTGAGTCTCATCTATACCGTTCATGTGGATGGCCTCACTGTTCCTATGGAAACGGTGATTGGAAACCTTCTCACCTGCATCATTCCTTTAGCTGGAGGCTCTCAGGTGAGAAATGCACAGTCTACTATGTTTTAATAAAAAAAAACAATAAACAAAAAAAACTATGTCTGTATATAGTGTTTTTTGACTTCTCTTCAACACAGACCTTCATTACCTATGGATAAATGAGTGTTTTTCTCTGAAGGGACTTTTATCAGAGATTAAAGACACTACATGGGTAGTGTGGAAGATCTACACTGTTATGGAAGACGCAGATGCTCTAGTCTTAACCTTTAGATGTTCCCTCAGCTTACTCAGAATGATGGACTCTTGATGACCCTGAAAGCTTAATATATAAGGATAATCCTAGTTTATAATGAGCAATGAAATTATTAAATCTCATATCAGGTGAAGACTTAAAGGGACAGTTCACCAAAAAAACAAACCAAAAAAAAACCCTGTCATCATTTACTCGTCCTGATGTCATTCCAAACCAAGAATTTTTTTTTTTTTTTTGCAAAACACAAAAATAACTTTTTTTTAAAGAATATTTTGAAGAATATCCTGGCTACTCTTTGCAGCAGTGATCAAGCAGTGGTCATTGAGAAAATGTTGTTTTTTATTACTATTTTCAGTTCATTTTTATATTTTCCATATTAATTTAGTTTTTATAGTACTATTTTATTACTATTATTATTTATATTATAATAGTTATAAAGTAATAGTAATATAGTTTTTATTCATTTTTATCTCAGTTGTAGATATCAAATTAAACTAAATGAAAACGATAACTGTTGCCTTGGCAACTAGCTGAAATATTTTTTATATTGTATTTTATTGCAAGTAACGTTGAAAAATGATTGTAACAAATGGGTTAGTTAACTATAAGGACCCTGTCAAATTCTAAAATGACTCAAAAAAACACTATAAAAGTATCATATGACGCATGCGCTATATTCTGAGTCCTCTAAAGTCATATGATCACTTTATTCGAGGATGGAGCTAAATTTAAATATTTATTCTCTGAAAATCATTCGTTTTTGGAGCTTGACAGTAAAATCCCCATTCACCTTCATTATAAAAAAGTGGCCAGTTTCTCTTTTGTGTTCCATGAAACCAAGCCTGCGGTGGAATAAAATGTTTCATTTTTGAGTGAACCATCGCTTTAAGTATGATTGGTTTCTGTATAACATGCTCACATCTTCTCATATTCTCAAGTTGATGTGCGGTTTTTGTGTTACAACCAAATGATTCCCTCCCCTGAAGTGTAAACCTGACTCCCTTGTGTTCCAGATAAATGACCCCCCTCTTTGTAGTTTAACTGACTGGCTGCTGGGTTGTTTCCAGGTAACATTTACCTTTGAGCAGCTTCAACCAATCAACCCATTTGTGATTCTGCCTGACAATCAATCAGTCAATCAGTCAATCAGTCAATCAATCAATCAATCAATCAATCTATGCTTTGCATTTCTCAGTCATTTTAAATCACTGCTGCTCATGAGAATCAACAATGCGCCTTATTTCTTTCTGATTCTTTGGCTTCAGTCAGTTGCACCTGAAATGCATCAATCAAATTTTTTTTGGTGGCAGTTTTTTTTCATCTGCTTATTGATTATTTTATGGGACAGTGCACAAATAAACACTTAAGCGCACACACACACACACACACACACGCTGACACACAGAGGCTTATGGGGCTGGTGTTCGTGTCCTGGGGCTAGTTGGCGTGGACTGAACATATGGGCTGGGACGGTGGCAGATGGTGTCTAAGCACACTGTAGCGTGTATGAATGACACGCAAAACAACATACTACAGCTTCAGTGCCGTCTTGATTGTTTTTCTTATCTTGTGTGCATTGGAAAGGGAGTGTTTTGTGTGTAACATATATTAATGCTTTCAATTTGAAAATTAGGTTGATTGTGACCTTTTAAATGATGATGGATTGTTCTGAATCAATTTCTGATTGAATTAGCTGTGTTTTAGGCTGTTATGAAATGCAGATAAACGCAGATGTTACATTTTTTAACACTCTATAGTTGAGAATATAACAGAACAGAAGATTTTTTTGGTCATTAATAATAAATGGAACTATATTTATTTATAAATTAATAATGAGAACTATATATATTTATGTTTCTTTATGTTGCTAGGTCATTAAAGTAATGTTGTCTTAAATTCATTGTCCAGAATTTAAGACCGTTTAAAAGAATATTCAAATATTTAAAAAAGTAAATTAGTTCATATTAAATTTGGAAATAAAAAGATGTGATGTTTCTAATAAATTTCATGTATAAATAAATATTAATACACAAAACTTTTTCAAATATTCTAAATAATCTTCCTATTTTATATTCTCATTCTTCAATTTGTGCATTTTAAAGATAAAAAAATTAATTAAAATATAATATATAAAAAGATTATTTATATGTATATATATGTATATATATATATATATATAAATTGAATATATAAAAAAATATTTTAGCTGTATTTTAGTTATTGATTTAAAGATTTATCTCTTGATCTACTTGCAATAATTTAGGCCATATTATGGTTCGATAGAAAAACATGACCTTTTTAGCCATATAATAATATCAAACATCATTGCAAGACTTGGGGGGAAAAAAGGTGACTTTTTATTTATAATATCTATATTTATAAGTTTAGCCATAATCACCATTCATTACTCACAATAATTTGGGTTTTAAAATACTTAATATGTAATTATTTATTATATTAATGTTAATGGTTATGGCATTATTTATTTATTTATTGCTTAGTAGGTCTTAAATTTAAGTTTTAAGTTTTTAAATTTTAAATGTAAAGTTTAAATTTACATTTAAAAGTCTTTCTTTCCCTTAAATATGCAGATTCCCTGACAGAGTGCTAAAACACAATCTGTAAAATATGAAACATGCCTGGATTTAATAAAAGTCTCAGCCAGTTATGAAAGCATTGAAACAAGGCGTTTGGCGAGTATGTATCTGTATGTTGGGAAGCCAGTAGAATTGGTGAGTCAGGTGTGAGGAGAATTATCTTTTTTTTTTTTCTGGAGCAGTGCTGTGAATTGGTTATTTTGGACTTCCTGAAGGGCATGTTTTACTGTCCCTGACCCATGACTGCAATGCCAAGTAAAACACGTCTGTTTATTTTCCCAGTGGCCATACCAGAAGTCATCAATGTAATATCTAATCTGTTACGCAAGTCAGAAATTCCCAGGCCTCACTTTCTGTTTCAGTGAGGGTGTTACCTGTTAATATGGCAGCCGTATTTTCCCTCACAGCTGTTTTATCATCACAGCCATCATGTCATTTTGCATCTTGCCATGTATTTCCTTGTTTGCTTTTTGCTGTTTCTCTTTTTTTATTTATATAGATTGTAATGTCTCTAAATTTTGGTGTGTCTAATGGTTTGTGTTTTGTGTTGCTGTATGTGCTAATCTAGCCGGGCCAGGACGACAGAGAGGAGAGCTCGGTACGCCCTGTTTGATTTCGTTCAGCTCTTTCTCTCACTGTCAATCTTGCTATCCCCTTTGTTTTGCTCCACCAAAAGACAAACTCAGCATCAGGGGAATCAATTAGATCACAGAAATTATGATCAAAATCGATCCAATATGTGACTAACTGTTGTTGTTTAATCACTGATCAAAACTTAGTATGGAAATGTTTTCCAGCATCACTCCTCTCATGTTACTGTGTCTGTTAAAGGCATGTGCTACAGTTTCCTGCACTAGCTCAAGATCAAGGCTGTGGAGGCCTGGAAACACCATACTAGCATCAGGGCTGTGTTTTGCCAGAAGCATTGTAAGCTTCAAGTTGGTCGTAAAGACTGTGGATGCCAACGGCTTTTAAAGGGGTCATATGATGCGATTTCAAGTTTTCCTTTCTCTTTGGAGTGTTACAAGCTGATTGTGCATAGATAAGATCCCTGAAGTTGCAAAGACTAAAGTCTCAAAACCAAAGAGATATTCTTTATAAAAGTTAAGACTCTGCCACGCCCCCCTAAAACGGCTCATTCTAACACGCCCCCACATATCTACATCACTATGCGGAAATATTTGCATAATGCCGCCCAAATGAGCACGCAAAGAAAGAAGGCGTGGTTTCAGGAACACACTATGTGGGAATATTTGCATAATGTGCCCAAATGTGCACGCAAAGAAAGAAGGCGTGGTTTCAGTAACCGCAGTTAGTGTTGAAGCAGCTATGTCAGGGAGACGCTGTGTGTTTCTAGGTGAAAGCAAAAGCACTTTATTTGGCCTTCCGGAAGTAGATGCATTTAGGAATCTTTAAGATTACTTACAACAGAACAGCAATGCATTTTATGGACGACCGTTTCGTGAACCTAGGAGAGGAGGTAATTCTGACTTTGCTATGACAATCTGGCGCTTCTGAATCAGCTACTGTTTTGTTATTAGTTTAAGTATTTGCTATTGACTGTTCAAATGCGGAGTTTTGCGCATAGTGTGTGTGTGAGTGTGTGCGCGCGCACGTGTGTGTGAGCAAGAGCGAGAGAGAGATAGGGTCACTCACAGTGGAGGCAGCTGTCTTAACCGTGGCTTGTGTACTGCAAACACATACCAGCTTCATCACTGTGTCTGTCACGCGACTCTGTTCCCCTTTCGGGCTCTGTCTTTACATTTATTTTGAAAGATGAAACTCGCGATTATGGTAAGGGGCGTTACATTTCCGACGAGTGCTTGCGGTGTTCGGCCAATCACAATGCACTGGGTCAGCTGGCCAATCAGAGCAGACTGCGCTTGTCAGAAGGAGGGACTTTGTAGAAAACGAAGCGTTTGAGAGAGGCGGGGCATAGAGGACCTACAATAATGTACAGTATTTGAAAAATAATGTGTTTTTTGAACATTAAAGCATGTCAACATATTCTGTTACACCAAATACACAAAATAATGATCTTTAAAAAAGCATCATATGACCCCTTTAAGCTTCAATGATTAATTTAGACTTGCGATGCTTTTGGGAAATGCAGCCCAGGATGGTAAACTAGTGAGGCTGATTAATTTAATGTATTTTTTATCCCCTTTGGATTTTTTGTTTTGTTTTAACAGCTGTACATTAAGGAAAATGAGTCCTTTGATAGTTTAAATGAATAAATACATTTTATTAATATTTATTTTTAGTTTTAAAAATGTTAGAAGATAAAAATATTATATAAAATAGGGTTTAAAAAAATAGGGGCTGTTAAAAGGGCTGTTAAACCCTTGTGTGCTGTGGCTGTTTGAAGTGATGACATCACACCCCGCTGGCGTTTTACAGCCACCTCTTTACTTCCTGTACTGATGTGACTTATTCTAAAAGGACTGGTTTCTTGACACTTACTGACCTCACCTCTGCCTGAATTAACTGTCCTAAAATGGGCATAAACAACAGTATATGTTGGGTTGCGTGGAAGATTCTGGACTAATTTTAACTGCATAATGTGAATGATTTCCCTTTGCTGATTGCCTGCTGGCTTAATGAATGTTTACTGTCTTATTATTTCCAGCAAATGTTTGACAATGTTTGTCATGGTATTTGCAATTATTACTACATTTTTGTATGACTGTACCTTATATTTATAATGCAAATCATTTTATTATTCACCTTATAGTCCTGGAAATGAATATTTTGTGATTCTGAGATTATTTCTGATGATCTTAACAGCAAATTTTCATCCTCAACCTGAATAATTTCAACTTTTTCCATCTGTAACTTTCACAAAAAAGCATTGATTTTAAAGGTGACTTGTTTATAACAGGAAATAGATGTGAAAATGCCAAAAAAAAAACTTGTTTTCTCTTGGGTGCTTTTTACAAATGGTGAATGGCTTTGATTTCCTTTTTTTCTTCTGAATAACCTCCTGTCTTTAGCTCACCACATGACCAGCCTGCCGCGCACACATTAATCTTTCCCATAATGCCGTGGTGGAGGTGTTAGATGGAGTTTTTCATTCTCATTTTCTCTTATCTCCCGACCTTTCTTCCCCTCCCTTTTTATCTGTATCTTTCTTTTCTCACTCTTCTTTCTGTCTCAACAGAGGACCATAACGCTCGGCGCGGGTGACAGGCAGGTTATCCAGACGCCCATAAACGACTCCCTGCCTGTGAGCGGCTGCAGCGTGGCCCAGCTTTTCAGACAGCTTGGTAAGCCAATCAGCAGCAGGCTTAGGTGCTAAACAGCAAATCAACTTCATTAAAACAGCAACAGTTGGTGTCAAGTGTCAGATGTGGTCGGTGTAATCTCCACCTTGTGTTGTTAAATATATAACAGAGGAAGTGGGGCTGATATTTTTAGGCTCAGCTGACCTCTCTCTCTCTCTCTCTCTCTCTTTGCAGGAATCGTAAATGTTCTCTGTCTGTTTTGCGCTGCTCTGACGGAGCACAAGATCCTGTTCCTCTCCAGCAGTTACCAGCGTCTAACGGACGCCTGCAGAGCTCTGCTGGCCATCATGTTCCCACTCAAGTACAGGTGAAGAGGGATCATATGTTGACGCAGAATTTGATTGCTTCATACTGATTGCTTGTTTTTCCTGCCATAGGTGGTTTTGAAAAAGTTTTGAATAAATTGAAATAAAAGGTGAAATGTACATTCCTGGTTGATTTTATAATAATGAATAATAATTAACAATTTAATAATAATAATAATATAATAATAATAAAAAAATAACAACAGCAGCTTAATGTTGTTATTTCTTATTATAAAAATAATAATTGATATTATTATTAATAATAATAATAATAACAACAACGTTAGTTATTTTATTGTTATTATTATTTTTAATTGTTATTAATATTAACCATTATAATAATTATTAGTAGTATCATGTATTATTATAAAATGAGTTATTATTATTATTATTAATGATAACGATAATTATGAATGATACTGATTATTAATTTTATAATTTTTTTCATTGTTATTACTACTACTACTACTGCTAATAACTATTATAATAAGTTATAATTTATTATTATAAAACAATAATTATTTTGTCATTGTTACTTTAATAATAATAACAGCAACTTAATATTATTGTTGTTGTTTCTTATTATAAAAAATAATAATAATAATTATTATTATTACTATTATTATTTAATAACAACAACATTAGTAGTATTATTTATTATAAAATGAGTTATTATTAAAGATGGCAATAATTATTATTAATGATATTGCTTATTTTTTATTATTTTTTCATTGTTATTATTACAACTACTACTACTAACTATTATTATAATATATTATCTTATATATTAAATATTAAATTAAATATTAAATATTATATATTTATTATTTTAAAAATAGTTATTTTATTTGCCATTGTTACTGTAATAATAATAATTATTATTATTATTATTGTTGTGTATTGTTGTCTACTTTTAAAATAAAGATACTAAATATGAAAGCATTAGAATGGAAAAAAATTACATCAATTAAAAACAAGACTTATTACATCCCCTTTATTATTTCTTGTTAAAAAATATCTTTTTTGAGAGATCATCCAGTTCTGTTTTCCCATTTATTGTTCCCATTCCTCCTAATTTTATTATCATCCTAACCTCCTCCATGTCTTTATTACCCCTCTCTCCAGTTTTACATATGTTCCCATCTTACCGGGAAAGCTGCTGGAGGTGCTCAGCACTCCGACGCCCTTCATCATAGGAGTCAACTCACACTTCCGCTCGGAGACCCAGGAGCTGGTGAGATGTCTTTTTTATTTCTTGCTGTGAGCCGGAGAACATAATGCAGCACGCATCAGGACATTTAGACTTTTGAGATAAGGTTTGATCAGATATGTGGCATATGGTGCAAGCAGAAACAAGTGTAACCAAATACAGCGTTCCATGCAATGCACAACATGAGATCAGATGCTAGAACAGATGTGCCCTCATACACCTGATTTGCTTTATCTCGGTACATGTCAACTAGTTTTTGTCCTTTTTTAGAAGTGGGCAAGTCTATTAATTTAGCTATTCTGCCTGATTATATGTATGGTTGCATTGTTATCTGGATTTAGCATCAGACTTTTTTCAGACTTTTTTTGGGGTCGTGGCCAAACTATTTATTTAACATAAATTTTTGTATCAAAAGTCATGTGATAGGGTTGCATTTTACCAGATTTTCTTTCAGTTTCTGTCTTATGTTGATAAAAGAAAGGAAAACTTGAAATCGCATCATATGACCCCTTTAATGGGAAATTCCTGACCCATTTTTCTGATGTTTATCTGGTTGAACAAATATCACCTTCTGTTTTTTGTGCTGCCAAATGCTGTAATAATTGGCATTTCATTATCTTGGTTAGCTTAGTTTACAAAGAAAAGTCGAACTTCCTTGAACATTTACATGCGATGACTTGAGTTCAGATGATACGATACTTGATACTAGGGAATGATACTTGACCTGAGGTCACTTCGTTTGGACCCGAACACTCCTTTAGGCTGGTTGCACTCTAAACGATTTTAAGGCCGATTTTAAGCCCGATTTGCATCCCCGATAGATCGGGGGGTGTGGCCCGATTCGCGGCTTGTCGCAAACGATTTTTTGTCCAAAAAAATCCTCTATTGTGTGGTGTCATTACGATTATTTATCTGCTCCCGATCGGGACGGAGCGTCCCCGAACTCAAATCGTCCCCGAACTCTTGACCGGGCTGCCTCTGACACGATACCCGCGATAGCCAATGAGAGTGAGCAAGACCTACCGGATGTTGCGTGCTTCTATAGCTGAAACCTGGCAGCCACAAACATGCCATGAAAGCAGAGAACATCACCCATATTCTTTTTTTATACTTTGTTTTTCACTGTGAAACAGAACGCGTGCCAGGAGAGCCAGCTGACAACGTTGATTGTCCTCTATTTGTTTTTCTTCTCTAGTCACGTTTGATCTCGCGAGTGTCCGTGAGATCACGTGTCACTGTGAAATCGTTCCTACAATCATCAAGTGTGTGGTCTCGCGGTCTGGTCGAATCATCTAGTGTGTGCGTTCAGAGGATTATAAGGCAAAAAATTGGTCGAACTGTCTTCATGTCTGTGGTCTCCCATGGTTTTAAAATCGTTTAAAAAACCAGTGAGCTTCTCACACTGAAGAATTGTCATGCTCGGATCTGATCCAGGTTTTTTTTTTTTTTTTTTTCAGTAAAGGTTGAATCGGGTCTGATGTGCATCAGAGTTAACCAGTTTGGTCTTGACTAAAAGAGTCTCTCGGTTTCCTGTTTTTGAAATATGAGATGGTGTTATGCATATTTCTGCATTTGCCCATATAGAACAATAAGTTCAATGTGGGTCCATATTTACCCATGTGCCTGTGTTTTATTGACAGCTCGACGTAATCATTGCAGACCTGGACGGAGGGACGGTCACCATTCCGGAGTGTGTCCACATATCCCTGCTGCCCGAGCCGCTTCTTCATCACACACAGACCGCCATCTCCATGGTAACCCATTTTACCTGTTAGGTTGGGTGTATGCCAGTCTTGGGTTGTGTAATAACTGGCAGAGATGAAGATGTCATGGTTGATATTAAGTTTTTAAAGATAATTTGACAAACCGCAGCACAGACCCCGCGGTCTTGTCAAATTTAAGTGTTGCAGGTTTAATGGATGGATTGGGGCTATAAAAACACATGAAATAAATATTTTTCATAATGAGGTTTTGTGCCAGCAGTAATTAAATGATTCTCGGCACACATTACTCAACCACGCGTACTTCCTTGTTTAAGTTGCACTCACTGTACTGTGAGTAAGATTATAGTGCTGATAGTGATTTTACTGGCAGCTTGTATAGTACTGATAGTGGTTTCAAGTAGTTGAAATTATAGGGCAATATTTTATATTGTTTTAATTCATAAAGAAAAAAAGAATCCATAAAACACTTCACTACTAATTTCTTAATCCACAGTAATGATATTTAAAGGGAATTGTTATGCATTGTCCCAACCAGGAATAGCATGATAAAGATTTTGTGTAGTGATGCACACTGGCTATCAGCTGATATCAGTGAATATTTTATTATTATTTTTTTTTTTAAATGTGTTAAATTGTATAATGTATTATTATTTTTTTTAAATATACAGATAAAAAAACTGTAAATTTTCTTTAAAAAAATCAGTAGAACAACAATTACAACAACCAACCAACCAATAAATAAACAAAAATAAATAAATAAATACGAATATATTGTGCATCCCTTATTAGTACCAGATTATTATTATTATTTATTAAATCATTAAAAAAAAAATTTATTTATTGATTCTTCTAAATTCGGTCTAGTAGGTGTAATTGTTAGCGTAAATACCTATTATTACAACTTTCGGCAGTATAAAAAACAGCAGGTGATATTTGTTTAGCAAAATAAATGTAATTTTGACTAAGTCAAGTCAAGTCAAGTGTCAAAGCAGCTTTACAGTGTCAAACAGGAAAATAGTTTGTCAGTAATATAAAAAAAAAAGAGTAATTTCTCCAACTAAAGTCAGTTCAGTGATGATTCAGCTCATTTGTGTATGGCTAATCAGTACCATTTTTTTGTTGTTATTTTATTCGTTATATCAGCTGATTTACAATTTAATTTTTCTCTTAATTTTTCCCTTCAACACACTTTTTTTCAGGCTTTGACAAATAAACAATTCCAAGTAGGATTATCACATTTATTCCAGTTTAATGTTAGCAATTTGCAAACTTCCTTTTATATTTAGCGTATGATGTATGAGTCACATTCATGCCTAGATCTTTTCTGCAAGGAAGTTTTTTTTTCTTTTCAGGAAAATGACAGTGAATAGGGTTTTCCGTTCTGTGCTCATACCTAAAAGTGTCCGGTTGTCTGTCTGTGTTTGTTTAGATTAGATCTAAATTGGCACAGAAAGGTCCATCTGTGTGGCATTCACATTTTGCCCCCCTGGAAACAAGCCCAGAGTCCCACAGACACTCTGCTGTCTCTCTATAATGAACGTCTGTGGCGCCAAGGCAGACAGACCATCCCGGCAGAAGTGGCAGAGGTTGAGGTTGCATATGCATGTTTGAGTGAGCAGGGCTCACATAACCGCGTCCCCTCAGGGAGAGAGATGATTATCATGGCTGAGAAAACAAATGGCCATGCCTCAGTAATAAACCCAATTCATCTGTTTAATTGCCTGGAAAATGTGGCGTTTCTTCGTTTTCTCTTTCCTGATCCTCAGTGCTCTTTATCCAAAGGTTAAAGATGCTTCCGATAGTTGTGTAGGCAACTGCCGTCTTTAGTTTATGTCCTGTGCCTAATCCCAAACCTTTTCAATTAGCTAAGTGAGTTGTGTTATTAGCTCCAGCTCCGGACGGCAGCTTTCTGTAATTACAGAAGCGCTCATGTGCGCAGACAAGCCAGATTCGGATATGTTTTTGTTGGAATTGGAGATTGATCGCAGTAATAAAGACATGTGCACCTTTTACACATATTTTTCAGTTGTCACTGAAAGCGATTTACTGCACGAAGTGACAAGCGCAGTCAGTCAGAACATATTTAATGTTTAAATACAAAAATGTAGCGAAACCAAACCAAAAAATTAACAATGGTTTTTGTGGCTTGACAAAAACTCAGATTAACAAGAAAGATGTGTGATTTATTGCTTTGTCATGTCACGGACACAATGAACATTGTGTTTTAAAGTGTTGTGGCTCACATTAAACTGATTTATGACTTGAGGCTTAAAATGGTGGCATTGTTAGTTGGGATGTAAAAATGTGTGATGCACCAATGAAAATTCAGTGCATTCATTACAGAATTAAATATTGGACTATAACGATAATTTTCAATTATTATAATAATAATATAAAAATGAATTGCGTTCATATTGTATTAAAAAAAAACAAGACAGTGTTGTTATTGTTAACCAAAGGAATTAAAATAAAACTATTAAAAATGATTTGTTTTTGTTAATTAATAAAATATAAATATTAGATGAAAAACCTAAAAAAAAATGTTTTAATTAATTGCTAAAATTGAAATAAAAATAATGGCAACACTTTACAATAAGGTTCATTAGCTAACTACTTTAGTTAACATGAATTAAGCGTGATCAATACTTCTACAGCATTTATTCATCTTAGTTCATGTTATTTTAAACATTTACTAATGCATTATTAAAATCAAAATTTGTGCTTGTTAACATTAGTTAATGGCCTGACTGTTCTGGTGGTCAGTGCTCTGTAGCGCCGACCAGAAGGCAACAGTTCGAAGAGAGAGTGGGCTGGGTGTGAGGGGTCCAAGGTGATTTTTTTAGCCCTTTTCCTCACTCTGGAGATGTAAAGATCTTGGAGGCTGGGCAGAGGGACACCAATAATCCTCTCAGCAGTCCTGACTGTCCGTTGTAGTCTCTTGATGTCTGATTTGGTTGCTGAACCAAACCAGACAGTTATGGATGAACACAGGACAGACTCAATGATAGCAGAGTAGAACTGTTTCAGCAGCTCCTGTGGCAGGTTGAATTTCCTCAGCTGGCGAAGGAAGTACAACCTCTGCTGGGCCTTTTTTGCAATGGAGTCTATGTGAGTGTCCCACTTCAGGTCCTGAGAGATAGTGGTGCCCAGGAACCTGAATGACTCCACTGCAGTCACAGTGCTGTCCATGATGGTGAGTGGGGGGAGTGCAGGGGGTTTTCTCCTGAAGTCCACGATCATCTCCACAGTTTTGAGCGTGTTAAGCTCCAGGTTGTTAAGACTGCACCAGACAGCCAGCTCTTTAACCTCCTGTCTGTAAGCAGACTCGTCTCCATCCTTGATGAGGCCGATGACTGTAGTGTCGTCTGCGAACTTCAGGAGCTTGACAGAGGGGTCTTTAGAGGTGCAGTCATTCGTGTAGAGAGAGAAGAGCAGTGGGGAGAGTACACATCCCTGGGGAGCGCCAGTGCTGATGGTGATAGTCCTGGATGTGAGTTTGCCCAGCCTCACTAGCTGCTGCCTGTCTGTCAGGAAGCTGGTGATCCACTGACAGATGGAGGTGGGCACGGAGAGCTGGGTGAGTTTGTCTGAGAGAAGGTCAGGCATGATGGTATTGAAGGCCGAACTGAAGTCCACAAATAGGATCCTTGCGTAATTCCCAGGTCTGTCGAGGTGTTGCAGGATGTAATGCAGTCCCATGTTGACTGCATCATCCACAGACCTGTTTGCTCTGTAGGCAAACTGAAGAGGATCCAGCAAGGGTCTAGTGATGTCCTTCAGGTAGGCCAGGACCAGTCTCTCAAGTGACTTCATGACCACAGATGTGAGAGCGACAGGTCTGTAGTCGTTAAGTCCAGTGATTTTGGGCTTTTTGGGGACCGGAATGATGGTGGAGCGTTTGAAGCAGCAGGGAACTTCACACAGCTCCAATGATCTGTTGAAGATCTGTGTGAAGATGGGGGCCAGTTGGTCAGCGCAGACTTTTAAACAGGCAGGTGAAACACCATCTGGGCCTGAAGCTTTTCTAGATTTCTGCTTCCTGAAGACCCGGTTCACATCCTCTACACAGACCTTAAGCACAGGTTGAATGGTGGGGGAGGGAGGGAGGGGGGTTGCAGGGGTGGTAGGTGAAGGTGTGAAGTGCAGATCAGAGCGGATGGGGGGTGGTAGACGATCCTTTTCAAATCTGCAGTAAAACACATTCAGATCGTCAGCCAATTGTTGATTCTCCGCAAGCTGTGGGGGTGGTGTCTTGTACATGGTGATGTTCCTCAGACCAGTCCATACTGACGCTGGATCGTTTGCTGAAAGCTCTTTTCTCAGCTTTTCTGAGTAGTTTTTTTTAGCCACTCTGATCTCCTTTGTTAGTCTGTTCCTGGCCTGGTTATACAAGATTTTATCCCCACTTCTGTAAGCATCCTCTTTGGCGTGACGAAGCTGTTTGAGTTTCCCAGTAAACCACGGTTTATCATTATTAAATGATAAGAATGTCCTGGTAGGAATGCACATATCTTCACAGAAACTGATATATGAAGTTACAGTCTCTGTGAGCTCGTCCAGATCGGTGGCTGCAGCTTCAAAGATGCTCCAATCAGTGAGGTCAAAACAAGCTTGTAAATCCTGCTCTGCTTCATTAGTCCATCTTTTTACAGTCCTTAATACAGGTTTAGCTGATTTCAGTTTCTGCCTGTAGGTCGGTATTAGATGAGCCAAACAGTGATCAGAGAGCCCCAAAGCTGCTCGTGGGACAGAGTGATATGCATCCTTTATTGCTGTGTAACAGTGATCCAAAATAGTGCTGTCTCTGGTGGGACACGTAATGTGCTGCTTGTATTTTGGCAGTTCACGGGAGAGATTTGATTTGTTAAAATCTCCAAGAATGATTAAAATAGAGTCTGGGTACCTTTGCTCCATTTCAGTTATTTGTTCGGCCAGCTGTTGCATCGCGGCGCTCACGCACGCGTCCGGAGGCACGTACACATTCACGAGAATGAAAGAGGAAAACTCCCGCGGCGAGTAGAAAGGTTTACAGTTTATGATGAGTGCCTCTAAATTAGGACAGCATACCTTTTTCAGCGTTGTTACATCTGAACACCAACGTTCGTTGATGTAGAAACACAATCCACCTCCTTTGGTTTTCCCCGTTAACTCCGCGATGCGATCCGCTCTGAACAGCTGGTAGCCCGGCAGATGAAGCGCGTTGTCCGGAATGGCTTCACTCAGCCAGGTTTCAGTGAAGCACAGTGCAGCAGAGTTTGAAAAGTCCTTGTTGGTGCGGGTGAGGAGAAGAAGTTCATCCGTTTTGTTAGGAAGGGAACGGACATTCGCAAGATGAATGCTTGGGAGCGCAGTCCGAAAGCCGCGCGCACAGAGCTTAACCAGGGCGCCGGCACGTTTCCCTCTTCTGCGTCTGCACGCGCGTTTGAACAACACCGCTGTACCTCCGACTAGAATGTCCAACAAAACGTCCGAATAATCAAAAACCGGAAAAATGTTGTCTGGGATGTGCTGCTTAATGTTAAGGAGTTCGTCTCTGGTAAAACTTATAGAAGAAGAATGACAAAACACAGAACAAACAAACAAAAACAATAGAAGAATCGCGGAGCTCAGCGTCCTTGCTGCCATTTGCGGCGCCATGCTGGTATCAGTCTTTTCAGGAGGACATTTCTGAAGTTCGCACCGTGTGCAAAGGTTTGTGAGGAAGTGTTTTCATGCATTTGGCGCTGCTGTGGTTTACTGTGTGTTAGTAATGCCTTTACAAAACTGTTTGGTCAGAGGCCTGTCTGAACCACCAGTCCGTCAGTCGACCCAGCAGACCTGATGATAGGGCCCTTTTCTGATAAAAATTGCAATTTGAAATTAAGAAATTGAGTACTTAAGAAAAATAAGTGTAACTATTATTATTATTATAACACTTTACAATAAGGTTCATTAGCTAACTACTTTAGTTAACATGAATTAAGCGTGATCAATACTTCTACAGCATTTATTCATCTTAGTTCATGTTATTTTAAACATTTACTAATGCATTATTAAAATCAAAATTTGTGCTTGTTAACATTAGTTAATGCACTGTGAATTAACATGAACTATCAATGAGAGACTGTATTTTCATTAACTAACATTAACAAAGATTAATCAATACTGTAATAAAAGTATTGTTCATGGTTTATGTTAGTTAATACAGTACATAAACTAATGCAACCTTATTGTAAAGTGTTACCAAATAAATTAAAGCTAAATAGAAATATTAAAAAACAAACAAACAAAAATAAACGTTAAAGCACATAACAAAATTGCTAAAATCTAAAAGTTTAAATGAAAACTAAAAAATATGAGCTAATTAAAAATATTAATTAATACTATAATACTATATAAATAATACTCAAATGAAACATTTACCTTTGTTCCTTCAGCATGTTTTTGAAAATAATTCTGACTTGCAACAAACTAAGCGTATCGGAAGCCAAATATGACCAAAGTTCATTTCATGTGTTGAATCATTTTGCAAAGAATTGATGTCAGAGCAAATATTTGCATTCGTCATTATTTGTATTGATTACTTGGGTAATTTTCCTAGAAAAGAAAATTTGTCGGCATCAGTGACTAGATGTATATAGCTGGCAATCAAGTACTGTAATCTTAATATGTATGTATGTTTTGTGTGATGAAGGTTCTTGATCCAGAGCTGGAAGTGGCTGATCATGCGTTTCCTCCACCTTCCGTTCAACCATCCACACTTAAAATTCAGGTAAAATTCTTTGTAAATCTCATGTATTAATATGCTTTTCCTCCTTCCTTGAGTAATCGCCGGCATCTGACATCACATCTAGAAATGTAAATGTTTTTTTTAATTGACCCTGGTGGACGTGACATTGTAGGAAGTGAATGTTTTACGAGAGTGTGGTTGTTTTGTGTGCGCTGTAGGACAAGGAGATCCGCGCTGTCTTCCTATGGCTCTTCGCGCATCTGCTTCAGGGCTATCGATGGTGTCTGCATATAATTCGAATCCACCCTGAGCCCGCCATATGCTTCCATAAGGTACTAAGGAGCCCTAAAATTCCATTTCAGACACAAATGCTGAAATTATGCTCATAAACAGACTTATAAAGCTGGTTGTTTTCTCTCAAGGCTGCATTTTTGGGGCAGAGAGCACTAGCTGAGGATGACTTCCTGATGAAGGTGCTGGACGGCATGGCATTTGCTGGGTTCGTATCTGAGCGGGGTCCTCCATACCGAGCCACAGACCTGTTTGATGATGTAAGTCACCAGTGTAGGATGGATATAGCTGACAGCCAATAGAACATTGAGAAGGATGCCTTCTTTTTTGTGTTTTTCAAGCTTTCTGGTCTTATCTCTCTTATTTCTGTTCACCGTAGCTCATAGCCAATCAGGTGGAGCGCATTCAAAAGGAGACAGGAGATCCTCATAAAGTGATGAAGCATATTAAGGAGCTGGCAGATCACCTTTTCAAAAATGTATGTTTAATTCATGTGTCTTATCTGCTGTGTCACATGATATGTTGTCACATCATTATCACATCAAAATTGAGGCTAAAAAGGGGTATTTAAAATACAAGTGCAGATCCTGGCACTTTTTATTGTTATTTTCACGCATACGTTTATTTTGAACTGAAATAAAGAATATTTGCAGTTAGTGATATCAGCGCTATATATCAGTACAATTTAGGTTATTAATCAGTTTTTTTTTTCCCTGTTGTCTAACTCTCACTTAAAGGGATAGTTCACCCAAAAATAAAAATCGGTCATCATTTACTCATGTTGTTCCAAACATGTATGGCTTGCTTGCTTCTGTGAAACAAAAAATAAGACATTTTGAAGAGTTTTGGTTCCCATTGACTTCTATTTTATGGCTAGAAATACAATAGAAGTCAATTGGAACTGAAACCAATCAACATTCTTCAGATTATCTACTATTATTTTCTGCAGAAAAAATAAAGTCAAACGGGTTTGGAACGACGTGGGCGAGAAAATAATGACCGAATTTTCTTTGTTGTGTAGACTATTCCTGTAATGTTAATCTCGGAAAACAATAATAATTTAATAGTTTAATGTAATTTTTAGCAAATCTCAAAAGAAAAATTAATTTTCCATAGGTAGATTACAATGTTGTGATGCCTAAATTTATTTGCAACATTTGCACTGATTGTTTTAAAATTGTAATGTTTTGCTCTAAACTTATTTGATATTAAGCGCTATTATTTAAAAAATATGAATGCATATATTAAATTATATTATAGTACATTATAGTTTTCTTGTATTAATAATACAAGAAAATGTATGCAAATATCTGTGCATCCCGATTTTCCATTATTGTGATTGTAATTTTGTCTCTAAACACACATTTTTCTTTTCTTTTTTTTTTTTTCACAGGAAAACCCATACCCAGCAGTAAGCATGCACCGAGTTCAGAGAACAGTTGAAAACGCACAGCCCCGGCTCCCACAGACCTCTTTCCCGCACCTGGACGAGGTCTCCGTGCAGCTCTTTATAGACCACGCAACAGCAAAACTCAAAACCGCCCCGCCTGTGGTCAAGGCCGAACTGAAGAGCATGGTCCCATCCGGACCTCCACTGGGTAGCAAACATCACCTCCAGTGCTCAAATATAACATTCAAATAAACACGTCATACTCAAACCGATGTGTGCACAGCTTTGTGCTGATCTTCACAATCTTCATGTTTTGGTCTCTCTGGCTTCTAGCTGACATAGTGGACAGAAACGGGAATGTTCTGGCCAACAGCGCCAGGAGGTTAGAGGTGGTCAGGAACTGCATCACATATATATTTGACAACAAGATGCTGGAATCCAAGAAGGTACGAACCTCTCATTTTATGCTTTTCTGTTAAACATGACCCAGATTTATGGTGTCTGTTTCTGCTAAAGCATTTATGATCTCAGATTAGTCTATTTTTGTGTATATGAGTGTGTGTTAACTTGTGTGTGTCTGCAGTTAATGCCGGCAGTGTTACGGGCTCTGAAAGGTCGGGCGGCGCGGGTCTGTCTGACCCAGGAGCTCAACCTGCATGTGCTGCAGAACAGGGCCGTTCTAGACCACCAACAGTTTGACTACATCGTCCGCATGATGAACTGCACCCTGCAGGTAAAACACAGGAATGTTTTCTTTCAAGGAATCAGATACCGAGTGTTTACTGGTGTTTCTCGGATTGTAGTGCTGCAATAAGGAAGGGGAAAATATGTTGTTTTGGTTTTGTTTATGATTGTTGTTGATTATGTTATCATCATTTACCTCCATAAATTGTGTTATTCAAATGTTTTGATGTCTGTGTATGAAATCCGCTTCTATTTTTATCTTCAGGACTGCTCACATATGGATGAACATGGTATTGCTTCTGCACTGCTGCCATTGGTCACCGCCTACTGTCGGGTGAGTGAAGATGTGAATGAGTATTTGTAGGTGGACTATATTTTGTTTTTCTAGAAGTGCAAGAGTTAAGTTAAAGTAAGACATCAGCAGCATTTCCTAGAAGAACGGGGAATCAGTAAGAGACAAGAAGATGAAGAAGAGAGAGAACTTCAAATAGAGGAGGACTTGTTATATTGCAACTAAATATGTTAACTAACTAGTTCATAGAAAAAGTAGCTAGGATTGCAGATTAATAATGTAAAAAATGCACACACACACACACACACATATATATATATATATATATAAATAAAATGTTATGTTGCAGTATTGGGGTTGTTGCTTAGCTTTAAGCTAATTGGAGCTTAAATAAAATAATTTCAATTCAAATAAATATTTCATGTACATTTATTTATTTATTTGGTAGATAGCCATATAATAAGTGAGATAATGTTCCCATCTTATTTTGTGATAATGACTGGCTAAGTGGACATATTTTACCGATTTGAGAAGTTCAATTATGAGTGATGAAAGCATGTCTGTTCTAATAAAAGTACTGGATAAAAGGTGGATTTTTCTCTGACTTGAGCATGTGAGTTTACAGCATCTGTTTTGTGTGTTACAGAAACTGGGTGGAGGCATCACTCAGTTCGCTTACAGCTGCGTTCAGGAGCACATGGTGTGGACAAACATGCAGTTCTGGGAGGCCATGTTTTACAGTGATGTTCAGAAACACATCCGGGCCCTGTACCTGGAGAACGATGAGGAGGGAGACACGTCCAGCCCTGTAAGATTTGATTTAATTTAATTTAATTTAATTTAATTTAATTTAATTTAATTTAATTTAATTTTTTATATTTTATATTTTATTTTATTTAATTTTATTTAATTTTTTTATTCATGTTTTTCATTAAAGTTATTTTAAAATATTACCTTAAATTTTAATAAACTTTACACTCATTCAAAAGTTTTATTCAGCAAGGATTAAATTGATCAAAAGTGACAGACATTTATAATGTTACAGAAAATTCATATTTCAAATAAATGATTTTTAACTTAATATACAATAATAAGAAATGTTTCTCGAGCAGCAAATCAGCATATTAGAATGATTTCTGAAGGATCATGTGACACTGAACACTGGAGTAATGATGCTGAAAATTCAGCTTTGACATCATTTAAAATATATTAAAATAGAAAACCGTTAAATTGTAATAATATTTCACAATATTACTGTTTTTACTGTATTTTTGATCGAATAAGTGCAGCTATGATGAACATAAGAGACTTCTTTCTAAAACATCTTATCTGCCCCAAACTTTTGAACAGAGCGTGTTATTTGTTTTATGTAAAAAAAGAAAAGAAAAAAAAAAAAGAATGTATAAAATATTTATTTGTTTGTTTATTTTTTGCTGCTACCTCTTGCCTTTGACCTTTGCTTCTTTCAGGACGGGGAGGGCGTTGGTGGTCAGAAGCGGTTGAGCGCCCTGGAGTTGGCGTCCGAGCAGAGCCGTCTGTGGCCCACGCTGAGCAAAGAGCAGCAGCAGGAGCGCGTTCAGAAGGAAGAGAGCACGGTTTTCAGTCAGGCCATTCACTATGCCAACCGCATGAGTTACCTGCTGCTGCCGCTCGACACCAGCAAGAACCGCCTGCTCCGTAACACCGGCCTGGGAGACGTGGAGAGCGTCAGCAACAGCTACGTCACTAACAGGTGGGTGCTGCTGTGTGTGAGCACAAAAACTTACAAATAAAATAACATAACATAAAATAAAATTAAACACTAAAGTAAAATCAAGAAAAATGACATAAAAAAAAAGACCACTAATTTAGTTTTTTGTTTGTCCAGTATTGCGGGCAGCATGGCAGAAAGCTACGACACAGAGAGCGGCTTTGAAGATGCTGAGATCTCGGATGTTGCGAACTCTGTCATTCGGTTCATCAACCGTTTTGTTGACAAAGTGTGCAACGAGAGCGGCGTGACCAATGAACACCTGAAGGCCCTTCACATAATGATACCAGGTAAAAGAGATTTGACTGTGAAGCCATCAGAATGTGTCTGAATATTGCTCAATTAGTCTTTCTTTTAATTACAGTTTTTTAAATGTTAGTATGCTGTTGTGTTTCTCTTTTAGACATCGTTCAGATGCACATTGAGACATTGGACGCGGTTCACAGGGAGAGCAAGCGACTGCCGCCCATCCAAAAGGTAACCAACTCATTGTTTTATGTTCCGCTGGGCAGGAAATGCAGTGTAGAAAGCCAGGCAGATCCACTCACATCCTACTTCAACCCCTCCACCCATGAGTCAGAGTGCCACGGCAGGTACGTTTGCGTGACCGCACTGCCTCACTGACCGTGGCCTGAGTGATGCATGCTGGTCTTATTGGCCTGCTGTTTTGAGCACACTTTAGTCTGACGTTCTGCTGTGCTTTCCTTTAACACAAAGCTTTGATTTGATCAAGGATCTTTGTACAATATTATCATAACGTCCTAGCAAAGCCTTCATGGTTTATTTAATGTTTTGACATCGAAGACATTTCTGTTGTATTACACAATCCACTTGTTCCTTTATACAACCTCATTGCAGCCTTAAAGGGATAGTTCACCCTAAAACAAAAATTATCTTCATTTACCTCATACTTATGTCATTTATTTTATTTTATTTTTTATTTTATGTTGTTTTATTTTATTTACTCTCCCTCATGTCATTCCAGATATGTTTGACTCTCTTTTAATTCTTTTATAATTACTGAAATCATTTATTTTTTATTGACTAAAAATTATCTTCACCCTAAAATTATTAGTTCACCCTAAAATGAGTTATATTTATTTACTCATGCTCATCTCGTTCCAAACGTATTTATTTTATTTTATTTTATTATTTTATTTAATTTTATTTTATTTTTCACCTTTTATTTTATTTTACCATGGTATGGTAAAGTATACTTAAAGTATACTTACTCTCATGCTGTTCCAGACCTTGTTTTGACCTAGTTTTCTTTCTTTCTTTCTTTCTTTCTTTCTTTTTCTTTCTTTCTTTCACCATTGTATGGTAAATTATCTTCATATACTCACAAACACGACGTTCAAAAATCTGGTTGACTTCATTTTATTTATTTCATTATTGCTTATTTATTTATATTATGTATTCACCTTCATTGTATAGAAAAGAACACCTGCTAAACTACTACTTTTGTTTTCCATGGAAGAAGGAAAGTCATATGGGTTTGGAACAACATGAGCAAGTTTACACATCTTGAGCTATTAACTTAAGCACAATGGCAGAACGATGCAGTGAAGTGTTGTAAATACCTTGCAGTGTTTTTTGACTTCTCATGGAATAGCAAAACTGTATTTTCACTCCACTGAGTTCTACAGAAAATTACTCTGTACTGGAGAAGCAGTCATGCATCTTTCATCACTCAGTGCCTAGCAACCAGTGCTGTCATGGGACACCAACATTGAACACTTTCCCAAGAACTCAACCGAGAGAGTGTGAATGGAGCCCACCTGCTGTACAGCGCTAGACAGATTGACTCTAGATCACTTCCTGTTACAAGGACACATTTCTCTGGATGACAATAGATCAGAATCAGAAAGAGCTTTATTGCCAAGTATGTTTGCACATACAAGGAATTTGTTCTGGTGACAGAAGCTTCCAGTACAGAGACAACAACACACAGATATATAAATAAACATAAATGGACAAAATTATATCGATTGGATATAGAATTGACAAGGAATGGAATAAGATGTAGGGTAAAACAAAAGTGGTATTGCACATCTTTTTATTGAACAGTAGGGGAGAACATTTTTGTTCATTGAGGTAGATGCTCATGAGATCTGTAAATCATTCAGAATCTCAGCACTGGATGTGATCAAACTTGCTCTTTCATAAGCGTCTAGAGAATATTTAGGTCTAGATGGAGAAATTGGCCTCGCTTCACTGTTTTTTTGACTCATAATGCATTTGTTTATTTGGGGAAAAAATGCTCAGTGGAATAAACACGCTATTTTTCCCAGATGAAAATGTTGCTTCTGGCATTTCTGGACATATGAAATTGAATTTGAAGAACTGTGGGACAGAATGTTTTACATCCAAATGATAAATACACTTATCCAAGTATCCCATGCTTCAAGTCAACATGAAATCAAAATCAACCTTATTTACTTAGTAATGCATGTAAACTGTCCTGTTGTGCATGATTCTTCAGTGCACGTTATATAAAATGTTTGTATTTTATAATCTTTTGTCAAAATATTACATACTGTTTATATATACTGTTTTGTTAATGCAGTCTTTCTAAAATATTGTAATTTAAAAACTAAGCAATTAAATACAAAATGGGCAATTTAAGTAAAAAATAAGTTTAAAAGATAATGGTAATTTAATTTAAAATAAAATAGTAATTTATAAAAGGTAATATAAGTAAAAATAGGTAATTTTATAAAAGGGTCATTTAATAAAAAAAATTAGGTAAGTAAAGTAAATTAGGTAAATTAAGCAATTTAATTAAATTATAGTAATTTGTATCCAGTTTTTGTTAATATAATTTGCAATGATAGAAAATAATGATAAATTTGATAACGAAGCATAACCTTTGTGATCTCTTATGTAACACCCACATTTCATGATCTAATCAGTTCCCAATGGATAAAATCAGTCACACGTGATTGAATATCCTGTTTTACTCCGAAATAAATCACATTGCAAATTCAGTTTCATGTTGACCTGAAGCTTTCTGTTGAATTTGGTTCGTTAGACTAAAAGTGTCTTTATATGCTCAAGAAATGTCAAACTGACCGAGAGGAAATGCACCTTTGCTGTGTGTTTTTGTGATTTGAATGATCAATTCCTCCAGTTCTTGATCTCTTGAAGCATTCTGCATGTTTGCAATGAAGTGTGGTACGAATTTCATACTTGAGCAACTCACACATGAGATATACTGACTTCCCCTGTCTCCCTGTTTCCTCTTTATTTTTCTCTTTCGGTCTCTCTGACTCCAGCCCAAGCTTTTGAGACCAACGCTGCTCCCCGGTGAGGAGTTTGTGATGGACGGCATGCGGGTGCACCTTATAGCAGACGGCCGAGAGGAAGCCACGGGCGCGATGGGCGGTCCGCCTCTGTTACCTGCCGAGGGAGCCATCTTCCTCACTACCTACCGCCTCATCTTCAAGGGCACGCCCACCGACCCTCTCGGTACGCTCCTATTGGTTAAGTCGAGCTTCACACTGGGGTCGATTTTCATAATTAGTTCAGAGCAGCTCACTTTGGTAAAGTCTCTGGGATGCTGGTGGTCATGAATTATAGAAATTTCCTGCTTGTCTGAAGCAATTTTCTCACTAGCTTGACTCTGTGCTCACGCTTTGAAATTGAAAATGAAAATCAATGTGCCTTTTACACAAAAAGCCTTTTTGTAGGTGCGATAAATTTTGCCGTGCATGTTTGTTTTGTGCAGTTGGAGAGCAAGTGGTCACCCGCTCCTTCCCCATCGCTTCCCTCACGAAAGAGAAGCGGATCTCTGTTAATCTTCCCATGGATCAGTTCTTCCAGGAGGTTCTCCAGCTGCGTTCCTGCACCTTTCAGGTATTGGGTCGTCTGATCTTTCTTTGTTTCCTGTTGCTCCATTACTCATGATACATAAAGCACAAGAACGCTTTCCATTCAGTTAATTATGCATTTATTATTAATTTCATTATAAGTTAATTAATTAATGAATTTAAAAATTTTAAAGGTTTTTATTTTTTTTAAATGGATATTAAGGATTGTTTGGACTCCAAAAAAAAGAAAAAACTCTACAAAACTCTATTTGACTTGGTGTGATGGGTTTTGGTGCAAAAGAAATGCTTGCAAATATTTTATTTTATTAAAATATTTTTATTTGTGGTTTAGAAGCATTGATCAAGCCTTTACTCTTTACCAGTTATTAAATGTTGTTCTCTCTTGTAGCTGATGAAGATCGGCTTTGATGAGGAGGTGGCATCAGATCTCGCAGAAGTGTTCAGGAAGCACATGCATAAGCTCAGATACCCACAGCACGTCCAGGGCACGTTTGCCTTCACCGTGGGTCAGTCTGCAAAGCTGGTGGTGGAGCACAAGACCAAGGACAAGAACCAGTCGCTAAAGTAAGAACTGGTTGGATGCTGGTCTAGGAGGAGGGATCTTCCCCTTTAAATGTGCAGATGTGTTTGTCAGAGTTTGTGAGACACGGCTCTCAGTAGACCATTTCTGTATTTCCACCCTCTTTCTCTCACACACACTTGCAACTTCTTTCTCGATCCAGCCTATTCCTGTTTGGATCATGTGTCCCAGTAGCACTGGTTAAAAACCGAGAGAGAGAGAGAGAGGATAAGAAATAGCGTGTGGCAAGCCATGAATTATTCAGCAGTGGAAATTGCAAGGCTCTTGCGTTGAGATCCTGCATTAGCAGCAAATGGGTGTCATGGCAAACTCATATGCGGTTCAGTTCTGCGACGCTTTTGAGGGCAGGACCGATCATCTCCAAACACTTTTGAGCAGCTTTTAACATTTTTGAAAAATTCACCATGACAACAGCTCAGACATGTTATGTATTTAAATGGCAAGTCTTTGCTCTAGGCTTGGAAAGTGCTTGATATTTATACACAAACATGCAGGGCCGTTTCTAGGCATAGGCGGTCGCCTAGGGCGCCACCAGCTGAGGGGGCGCCAATGAGCGCACGTACTGGCACTTTTAGCAGGGTTGTGATAAAGAGTGGCACGGTCACCCTGAAATATGACTGCCGGGGGGGAATAGGGATTTCGCCTAGGGCATCAAATTGGCTAGAAACTGCCCTGCAAACATGATTCACTTTGGTATATGTGAAATTTTTTATTATAAAACACTTTATTATTTAATTTTTTTAAATTATTTTTATATTTGTCCCGAATATTCAAGATGAGATTATTGATATATATTTAAATATTTATGTACAAATGTTTATATGTATATATTTTTGTCTTTAAATCTAAAAAGTGTATGAATATATATACATTTTTTTATTTTTAAAGTAATAACGTATGTGTATATATACAAATGTAAAAATTAAGAAATTGTGTCTCTCTAAAAAGTCCTAAACATGACTTAAATCTGATTTTTTTTAAGTGATTAAAATGTTTGAGCTGCTGTTTCTTCTAGAACGCTGTCTAAAAACCTGGTTAAAACTGCGAAGAGGACCATTGGGCGTCAATATGTAACCCGAAAGAAGTATTCTCCCCCGACCTGGGAAAACCGCAGCAGTTTGCAGTCAGAGATGGATGAGGATGAGATCTCTGGTAAGAAAAATGCAAAAACACATACATTTACAACTGATAGACTGATGTTTGCGATGGCTAATATGTGATTATATAATATAATATAATGCAACTTCTCTGATTGAGCAGTGTCTGAAGAACCGGACCAGAGTTCGCTGACGCTCTCCTCCACCATCCGCTCGTCAGACCGGCAGACCATGAGTAATGTGGTCGAGCGGGCCTGCTGTCGGGACTACAAGCGGCTGGGACTGGGAACGCTCAGCAACAGCCTGACACGCTCTAAAAACGAACCCTTCCGGATCTCCACCGTCAACCGGATGTACACAGTCTGCCGAAGGTGAGTTCTCCGAAACAAAAATTCAAACAATGCTAAACCATATCATTAGCGTAACAGTTATACCCAAATATCATTGCCTGTCTGTTTGTGTGTTTCAGTTATCCAGGGTTACTGATCGTGCCTCAGAGCATCCCCGATTCCACCATCCAGCGCATCTGCCGCTGCTACCGGCACAACCGCTTCCCTGTGGTGTGCTGGAGGAACTCCCGCACCAAAGCTGTGCTGCTGCGCTCGGCCGGCCTGCATGCTAAAGGCGTCGTGGGATTCTTCAAATCACCCAATGCACCCACTGCAGGTCAGAGCCAGAAGCAATAAAAAAAAAAGAGAGATTAAAGCAGCTATTCTCTTATATAGAAATGTTTTTAAATAAATAATTATACATTTTAAATTATTATATAAATATACACTATTTTATTATATTTTTCAATAAATATATTTATTAATACTTTGAATTGGATTATACTTTTATATTTTCAGTTTTTATTTTAATTTCAGTCTAAGTTTTAGTTATTGTGTAATGTGCTTTTTTATTTTATTTTTTAGTAATTTTAGTAGTTACACTTAATTTTCAGTTTTCATAGAATATTTCATTTTATATTTCAGCTTTATTTTGTTTTCGTTAACTATAACAACACTGGTAAATATATCTATTTATTATATCTGCTTTTTGCAGACACTTTTATACATTCAAACTTAAGCCGAGCTCTCTAACCACTAGGCCACTTAAAGCAGATTAGAATAGGACGAGATCAACCAGAGCATATTTTTGGTATAAAACTAAAAGTAAACATGTTTGTGTTTGGTTTCAGGCCCGTCCCAGGCCGACTCCACCAGTCTGGAGCAAGAGAAGTATCTGCAGGCCATCATCAGCTCCATGCCCTCATATAGCGAAGCCAGTGGGAGGAACACACTCAGCGGCTTCACCTCCTCACACATGAGCAACTCAGGTCAGACCTTGACTCTAACATTTAACCCTAACCTTACTCAGCCCTAACAATAGTGACCATGTCACATAATTAGATGTACCTTAACAATTCACTTGTGATATTTACCCCCTAATGTGTAATGCGTGTTATTTTTGGGCCTCAGATTCATCAGACAAGCTGAGGCAGCCTAAAATAGGAGCTTTAATGAAACAAGTCATGGGGACTAAAGAGGACGCACCAGGAACCTTCAGTCGAGGAGGTGAGAGTGTGTTTTTAATATGCTCGCGACTTAACCCACCATCCATTCCTCTGTTCCCAATCATTTATAAGTTCTTTATTCAAATATAATTTTTGACATCCAGTCCCACATGACGGAGGAAGTCGTGTGCATTTTTGCATTGGCTTATGCTAATGTTAATTTATTTTGCTGAAATAGCTGCCCATTTTTGTTTGCTGATAGTAATTGGCATTTTTATGTCATCTGACCTTAGCGCTGGGTCAGAGGGCAAGGGTCATCTCCCTCTCTCAGCCTAGAGTTTCAGTCAAGGCCCGCAACTCACCTAGAGGTACAGTAGGCCCGCCCCTGCTCTCAAATCTAACCAAACAAATTTCTCGACAACGACGCTAGCGAGTTTGAGCACTAAGTGTCCATGTAGTGTTGTCATCCTCTTTCATGTGCTAACTAATCATTGACCATCATGTCTGTTTGATTTATTTGTATTGTTTGTGAGGATGCGATGACCATCTCTTTGCATGTGATCCACCAAATAGTCATTGTCCTATTTGTCTATAATGTGCTTGTAGAAATCACAAATTCTCTACACCAATCCCCAAATAAACATGCAAATTCACACACAAATGATTCCACAGAGCAGAATTAATTGCCCGTTCTCCATCAGTGAATGATCTCCATTGGTCTTTGTTTTTCCCAGGAAAGTGGGGCAGTATTCGTGGTAGTGGGCGGCTCAGCACATATAACCCTGATGTGGGGAACAGGCTGGCTGGGAAAGAATCCCCCCAGGCTAATGGAGGCCCAACCGAGACCTATTTCCTTCGCCAACAGAGAGCGTACCTCTACATCATTGGAGACAAGTCCCAGCTCAAGGTTATTAGCTTAAATACTTAAACTTTCATGTGAATATGATTCCATATATAAAGTAACTTATGACAACTTGTATTGCAATATTATTTGATTTTCAAGAAATGTTAGCAGAACTAACTTGCAATTCATTTCTGTAATTTTGGCATTTAGTGAGATAATAATAGTAATAATGATGATAATTTTATTTAAATCAATAAATATGTATAATTATTATACCGCTGCTAATAATAATAATTGTATGTTTTTATTTTAATGTAAGTCATTATTTATTTAAAGAACTAAATAATTAATTATTAATAATAATAACAATATTAAGTTCTTTCCACTCCTGCCAGCATCATGTTTACAAATTGTTTCCTACTATACAGATGTCCTAGATTCTAGATTTAATTAAACATATTAATTGCAGTATTGAATTGTGGGTGCTCAAGCTAAGCCCTCTTGTTGTTGTGTTCAGGGTGGAAAGCAGGACTCCTTCCAGCAGTGGGAGGTGGTGCCCATCGAGGTCTTTGATGTACGGCAGGTCAAGAACAGTTTCAAGAAGCTGATGAAAGCCTGTGTGCCTTCCTCATCCAACACTGAACCAAACATGACCTTTCACCGCTGCCTGGAGGAGTCGGAGTGGATGAATCTGGTACCTTACCCCTTTTCCCCTTTTATTTGTGTTGAATTAACACTTAAAAATACAGTGTATTGGTCAGTTTGTGCTACAGTTTTTAATATTCTTGATGTTTATTATGGTTTGCGTCCCATAGCTTCACAGGGTTCTACAGGTGTCCGTTCTTGTTGTGGAACTCCTGGACACTGGTTCCTCCGTCATGGTTAGTTTGGAAGATGGCTGGGATGTCACAACACAGGTAGGACAAACACCTAAACATGCATGAGCTCCGTCTGCCATTGATATTTGTCCATGTGTGCATTAATGCTGTGTTGGATATAGGTTGTGTCCCTGGTGCAACTTCTGTCGGATCCATACTACCGAACGATTGATGGCTTCAGGCTGCTTGTGGAGAAAGAGTGGTTGTCATTCGGTCATCGATTCAGCCACCGTGGAGCTCAGACGCTAGCCAGCCAGAGCAGCGGATTTACACCTGTCTTCCTACAGTTCCTTGACTGTGTGCACCAGGTATGTGTAGTGGTGGCTGTCCGATATGGGTTTTTCCAGGGGCCGGCGTCAACAGCCAGAGACCAGGGTTGCGGGTAGTAATCTCAACCTACTGGTCGGGAAATCACTATCAGTAAATGTGCATGCACATGCGTTCGTGATGTATGCAAGTATTTTCGTTTTTTTTTTTGAGCAACACTCAAATGTATGGCATTATTGCATGCAGGAAGTTTTGCTTGTTTGCATGCATTCTTCATTCAGTTTTTCAGTGGAGATGTTTAAAGGGATCATATGATGCGATTTCAATTTTTCCTTTCTCTTTGGAGTGTTACAAGCTCTTGGTGCATAAACAGGCTAAGCCGGGGCTTTCGCTCACGCTAGGCCGCTGTGTTTTTCGTTGTGAAAGCGAAACTACTTTGTTTGGTCTTCCAAATGAGGACGATATCCGCTTCGTCATGCCTGGAGCTGATCCGTGCTGGTCGCTGAGGAAATACTTCAACTTTCACCGTGGACGAAGCGGAGTTCAGCCCGGGGTCGTCACATGTGGTTGCTGCTCATTCGTCGGATCCGCCGGGCGCGCCGTTCTCGACCCCGCCGCCTCTGCTCACTCTATCCCGGCCTCAGCTCACTCTATCCCGGCCTCAGCGCACGCTAAGCCGGGGCTTCCCCTCACGCTAGGCCGCTGTGTTTTTCGTTGTGAAAGCGAAACTACTTTGTTTGCTCTACCAAAAGAGGACGATATCCGCTTCGTCATGCCTAGAGCTGATCTGTGCTGGTCGCTGAGGGAATACATCAACTTTCACCATGGACGAAGCGGAGTCCAGCCCGGGGTCGTCACATGTGGTTGCCGCTCATTCGTCAGCTCACGCTAGCCCGGCCTCAGCTCACTCTCAGCTCACTCTAGCCCAGACATGGTTTTATGTTTACGCGGCGTGATGCAATGCGTAAAAAGACAGTATAAGTCATTATAATCAGTAATTATGTCCCCACTGGATGCAACAAATGCCTCGTTTGTAATGGGTTTTAGTGTTTATGTCTCGTCGCTCCGGCCGGACACTGCATCAACAGTATGTGAGGGGCGTAACATTTCCGTCTCACGCTTGAGGTATTCGGCCAATCACAACGCATTGGATAGCTGGCCAAATCAGCACACCCCTCTTTTTCAGACCGATGAGCTTTGTAAAAATCGACGCGTTTCAAAAAGGCGGGGCATAGAGGAGAAACAATAATGTACAGTATGTGGAAAATAATGTTTTTTTTTTACTTTAAACCGCATAAACACATTTCATTACACCAAATACACAAAATAATGTTCTTTTTAGCAGCATCATGATGCATCATATGACCCCTTTAAATCTATTTCTGGAAAGTTCTTATCTCATGCACTGTAAAACTTGCATCTACATAGACAAATGACTGTTTTGTTGTTGGATGTTGATAAAGAGCAATCACCACTTTCTAGGAAGGTCTTGTCCAAAGAAAAGGGAAAAATAAACCTGATATGATTGGTGATAGTATGAGCAGGTACAGAAAGGCAGCTTGTTAATACATGCTGATGTACATAAACCTGTCCCAACTTCCTGCTTTGTCACTCTATAAACGGACCACACCTTCGAAGATGAGATACCTTACTATAACTCATCCGGATTGCACAAGCCTTATCTAGCTAATTCACCCTGAAGATAAGGACAGACTTTCTTTCCCCACACATTTAAAGAATGAGATTTCTTAATGGTGGGATTTCAGAACATTGGATCTGGATTTGACAAGACATCAAAGATGATTATCTCTTACACCGTGAACTCGATTAAGCTTCTAGAAATCCAGGAGATCTTGTTTCTTATCCCATGTCCTTCTCACTGATAAGGCAATTTGGAAGAAGAAAACTTGCCCACTCTATTCTCTGTTCCTTTGAAATGGCTTTTACCTAAACACTAGGACTCCACTGTTTGTAAATACTTTCATAAATACTGTACTGATTGATCAAATTCATAATAATTTAATAATTCATAAATAATAATTTACAGATGAACTGCTTAGGTGTCCCACAAGGTTCAGTCTTGGGCCCGTTTTTTTTTTTGTCATGTATACTTTTATATAGTTATGGCTTGTGGTGTTGGACATATAAACCTAGTTATTACAATTGCAATTTGCTTTCAATAGTCTGGTATTGGTTTTCCTTGGTCTAAAATCTGTTTAATGCAAGAAAATATAATGAATTGTTGTAGAGCTTAAGATCTGATAGATGTTATATTTCAATATTCTTCCCTCCGCACATTTTCCCAATAGATCCATCTACAGTTCCCCATGGAGTTTGAGTTCAGTCAGTACTATCTGAAATTCCTAGCCTACCACTACGTCTCCAACCGCTTCCGCACCTTCCTGCTGGATTCAGACTATGAGCGCATAGAGCTTGGTGAGTCTAAATCGTCAACCAACAAATTAATCGACAACATATTAAATGCTGCATAATGTCAGCTGTCATCATGACTCTCGTAATGAGATTGTGATCGAGTCTTCTTTCATGTTATTGTGTTCTCATTGTGTAATGCTGTCGAAAGTCAAGTGATACCTTACAGGAAGTTTCATAGTGTTTATTTATAGTATGCAATCATTAAACCCTGTTTGGCCCTATCCCAATGTATTGTCTGTGTAGGTGTCTTGTATGAGGAAAAAGGTGAGAGGAAGAACCCTCAGGTGTGCAAGTCTGTCTGGGATTACATTGATCGGCTCAGCAAGAAGACCCCCATATTCTACAACTACATGTTTTCACCTGAGGATGAGGAGGTAACTTTCTAATTTTGTTCTAACATTCTTAGTTTCAGAGCATAGTTCTTTAGGTAACCTGAAACAAAATGTGACTAAATGACTCTAGGGCCCTCTGTTGGTTAGTGTATGTAACTTGCCTTTCTTTTGTCTTGTAGGTCTTGAAGCCCTACAGTTTTATCTCCAACTTGAAGGTTTGGGACTTTTACACAGAGGAAACACTTTCTGAGGGTCCGTCCTTTGACTGGGAATTAGTGCGGGGTCAGCCGGAAAAGCCACAGGACGAAGCCGGTGATAGACAGGAGACGACGGCCCCCAAGTCCCAGCGGAGGATCGTCTGGCCTTGTTATGACAGCCTCAGTAAAGTACTGCCTGATGCCATCACCAAACTCTTGCAGGTTAGGAATAAAGCAGAAGTCCTCATTATAATGAAATTATTTTCTTCATACATGAATCCTTATGATCTTTTTAATATATCAATTCAGGATGTGCAGAACCTGGAAACTGAGTTGGGACAACCTACGGAAAAATGGAAGGACACATGGGACAAGATTAAGACAGCCCAACGAGTTGAGTCCAGACTAGAGAGCAGGGTAAGATATTAATTACCATCTTACCTTTATCTGCAAAATACTAATGGGATGGTGTATTAATATTTGTTTCTCTTTCCCCAGCACTCCTTCTCCAGCTCTCTGCTCATGTCGTCCAATCTGAGTCACCAGCGGCGCTCTCAGGGTGTGTATCTGCAGGAGAGCGGGGTCGGCTCCTCCATCAACCTAGCACTGGACTGCGAGGTCAGCGCCACATCCACACCTGCAGCTGGTCGACCCAGTACCAGCACGCTCTACAGCCAGTTCCAGAGCACTGAGAGCGAGAACAGGTCTGTGAACACATTCTTCATACTTCATCGGCTGCCCCGGGTCTGTTTTTGTGTTAAATGACATTTTCAACTTTAGTTATGGTTGTATAAATGAAACAAGTTTTATGTTGTCACCTAGCAAAATTGGGTATTTGATGCATGACATATCCATAGACTTTAAAAAAAAAAAAAAAATTTCAGGTTAAAATTAATTTTATATGAATGTATAACATAAAGTGTAAATTGTAGTTTTTTTTTTTTCTTTCAGTTTTTAATACATTTTTAGTCTTCACTAGTTAATTTTAAATGGTGCAGTTGTGTAAAAACAATAAGTGTTTGCAATATTTATATATTAACATATATAAAAAATAATGCACATATTTTATAAATATTATATTTTTTATAATAATTATATTATTCATAAATAATACGTTTTTTATATGAACTCAAAAACTATATCATAAAAGAATAAAAATGTAAAATGTAATATATATAATATACATATGTATGTATATATAATTTTTTTTTTTTTTTTATATAACATTTCTGTCCCCCTCACTGCTGAAATGATGGCTACGCCCCTGGTCTAGCAGACGCAATATATAATTTTTTTTTTTTTTTTGATGTAGGAGCTTTGAGGGTATTTTATACAAAAGAGGTGCTTTGCTGAAACCTTGGAAACCACGTTGGTTTGTACTGGATAAGACCAAACACCAGGTACTTTATTGCTACTGTGAAACCAAACACTGAAAACTTTGGTTTTGGAACCATAATTGATTCAGTATACAAATCTTGCATGTTATATATTAAAATGAATTATTTTGTAATATGTTTTTGATAAGGAATAATTCAAAGGGACTGAAATTGATGCTCTTTTGAACCCCTTTTCTCTCTTTCCTAGTTGCGATACTATGAAACAAGGCAAGATAAAGAGTGTAAGGGAGTGATCGAGCTAGCCGAAGTGGAATCTGTCATTCCGGGGACTCCCACCATGGGAGCACCTAAAAACATAGACGACAAAGCCTTCTTTGATGTAAGACCTATATAACCCATTAATGCCCGTTGCTTTATTTGTCCATGTGTGTTTTTTTGAACCACGTTAACCTTTTTTTCCCCTTTCTCTTTCAGCTCAAGACGACCAAAAGAGTGTACAACTTCTGTGCCCAGGACAGCACGAATGCACAGTTATGGATGGACAGTATTCAGAGTTGCCTATCTGATGCGTAGGAGGAGGGACATTGCAGAGGACAGAACTGTGACACTTTGTGGGGGGCGAAGCCAGTGACGGACAGTGCTCATAGCCAATGGGCAGCACTTCCTGGGGTGTACAGAGAGAAGTTGGAACGGGCTTCCGTATTGGTGGTATTGAAATTTACGATGACGATTTCAGCGTTTTTGTTTTAAAAAAACATGAAAAGCTACGAAAAAACAAAGAAATCCCTTAAAGACTGATATCTGTGGACTCACCTGTGCTCGGCTTGTTTTAAACACGCCCATACGCCCTGGCACGAAAAGGCATGACCTGCGATTCTTCATCCCATATTGCTCAAAATACTGCCAGTGGCACCTTTCAGCTATGCAGGGGCCTAAAAATGCCCAATAACTAGCCACAGCTCGCAAAAGAGTGACCCTAATGTGACCTTTAACCTCTTCTGAACTGTCACTATGCCACTGCTTGGAGTCGTCCAACAACTCACACATCACAGTCATCTGGACTCGCACATCATAAATTCTGCCTTCTCATTGGCTGGTCAAGTTCTCTCGCTCCTTTCTGATTGGTTGGCTTCATCCGTGCAACGGTTCATGAAGGATTTTGTGTTTTCTTTTACATTATTTACATCAAAATAATATAAAAACGTTCATTCTTGTCACATTTGACCAAGTTCAAACAGTTATCAAAATGCCATCTGGAGATTGAGATTTAACTGTTTACAAACTAAATTCTTGGTTTCTTATTATGAAAATTAAAGCCACTATTGCTATTGAGAATTTAAGGGATGTTGAAGGAAAAGGAGAGATGTGTTTTGTCATAATTTATGCACAGAAATACAATTCTTTGATTTTTACAGGACGAAAAGCGCCGACTAAAATGGGGGAAAACTATGTGTGGATGGGGTTTATAACCTTTTCGTGTTATCAAGTGTCTGTTTACACCAATCAGAGGCCAGAGACTGGAGCTGGTCGCCATGACAACTGGGTTCGTCATCATTTCCTATAACAAAAATATGCGAACTGAAAAACTGAATCAGCCTGTCCTGAAATCAAAGGCCGGTTGTCATGCGCTTCTGTTCTCCAGCCTCTGAGCCCTGGATCTGTCAGAATCAGTGTTTTAGTTAGTCTGTTACCTGTTCTGTTGAATCCTGTACATAGAGGAGTTTGTTTATATTATTCCTTTAGAGAAAGAGTCTATTTTGCTGGACTTGGTGAGGATGCATAAAAGTATCACCTGTTTATCACAGGACTGCACTGTTGCAGGTTTTTTTTTTTTAAATTCCAGATACAAGAACTAACACACACACACATACACACGGTGTAAAATAGGGTAATACTTCAGAGTTGTTGACGACAAAATTTGAATTGTAGATTTTTGTTCCAATAACTCCCTTGTATATAATACGCAAATATGTATGTTAATGGTAGTAATTTATTTAACTTTGTCTCCTGAATATGACAGTCCTCAGAGCACCACTTAACTTTTAAATTAGAAATCCAATATGTGCCATTGTTTATCTGTGTTAACTTGACTAATGATATATATTTTTTGGAAAACTTCAGATGTGACTCATAAATAAACCCTAAATTTTTATTCTTTTTTTTTTTCTTCTTTAAAATGAAACTTGCTCAGTACAGGTTCTCATAATTCGAGTCCTAGGATGTCACAGGTTTCGTAACATTTGAGCAAATTATATCTGACATCAAAAACATAACATTTTTAATTATTTATTTTTCATACTTTTTTAAAATTTGATTTATTTCATCTGATCCAGGTTGTGTTGTCAATCATGCCGTATATTTTTTAGGATTAAACCACTGTGGGGTTCATGGCCTCCTGACATTTCTGTGTGTGCTGCTTTTGTCTCGGTTTACTAGTGTCACTGCAAAGATTTATATTAATTTATAAATTAGAACATATAAACATCCTAATCCTTCATTAAAACATCAGAACATCGGAATATGACTCAAGTGTCAGTCAAACTGGGCGAGGGGGTGAATAATTTTACTGTTTAGTATAATTAGAAGTTTTGTGGTTTAATAGTATTTCATAAAGAAAAATGAACCCAAAAAATAATTATGCAATAATTTACTCACCCTCATTTTGTTCTAAACGCTGTCTTTAAATTTTTTTTTTATACAGGTTTTGTGTAACATGGATGTGAAAATACATTTTATTTTAAAAATTAAAAATCATTTTTGGGTGAACTATCTCTTTAGGCTGCGCTTTCTAAATGTACATGTACAAGGATTTATGTAGAGACACATAGCTCCATCTGTTGGTAACTTATTAACATTACACTAGCCGTAGCATGGCTATATGATGTTTTGTAAGCTAAATTCAGATCTGATATTCACCTTTAATATGAATAGTAATAGTGACGTGAATCCAGCATTTAATTTTCGCAGTGAATGGTTTAAAAAAACAAACAAAAAAAAACTTATTCTGCATAAAGATCTCCCGCTGTGATTGGTTGACTGATAAGCCAATCACTGGCGGATTTCAAAACTCGTCAGGCCTTCGACAGCTCAGTTTAGCTCAGTTGGTAGAGCGGAGGACTGTAGTGGGTTAAGAGCTGGAACTTCGGTTTATTCGCAACCAGCGGTTTTAAATAAACATGTAAATAGTAATATTTAAATATACTACGTAATTACTGTAAACATTTTAAATATAATAATACATTAACAATAACCTGACAAATGTTTGACAAGTAATTTCCAGTCTGAAATGTTGAACTATAGCCCTTCGATAGCTCAGTTGGTAGAGCGGAGGACTGTAGAGATTGAACACTGAAATCCTTAGGTCGCTGGTTCGAATCCGGCTCGAAGGAGGTGGTTTTTCTGTGGTGTTACAACACGTTAAGGATTTCAGTCTAGGTTAATACTGATGCTTTAGTAACTTACCTCGGTCGGCTTTATGAGAAACTGACATTACATTTAACTTAGCAAACAATTAAAAAGAAGGGAAAATTGTGTGGCTTTTCTGTGTGCTTCTCTTTCGCAAGTGTTGTGTTAACTTACTCAATTTTAAAACATTTTATTATTATGTTGATAGTGACGATTGGTACTTTTATTTTGAAAGGCTCCGTACAGTTCCTGCTGTTGTAAAATACTTTTTGAAGCGCTTTCTTCACGCTGTTCTCACATGGAAACCTAAACATGGAGAATTCAAGCACAGAGAACCAGGTAAAGAATGTTCTAATTCCTTACGTATGTAGTGATCGTTCATATTCATTTTGGCACTTTTGGTACGTACTGAATTCCTACTAACTGTTAGAAAAGTGTAAATCTATACTTTAAACGTGAATTATCAATATTTGCGCATGTGCTTCAACCCTGCACAGCAGTTAGGTCACAATTATGAACTGGTAACGTAGTGGATAATACAGCTCGCATTGAGAGAATGAAATGTCAAATGTTGATTGGTAAATTGGATTGCAAGACACGGCATTACTGCCACCCTCCTCGGCTACTTTAATCTTGCGTTCTGATTACTTAAAGGGCCCCTCGGTATTTTTTTTTTTGGTAATTAAAAAAGTATCACGCATAAAGCAATGAACCGCACTTATGAGACATATCATTTTACATGATGTACACTTATGTTAGAAGAAGAACTGACATAAGTCTTCTCTCTAGAATAAGGCTGTTTTATTCGACATGTAGCGGGTCGCTCCCTACATGTGTTGATATCATGTGACCGTATTATGTAGTTTACCGCGTTATAATAAAAACAAAACAACGATAATATATTTGCCTAATTGTTTAAATAAAGTGCTTTCAGTCAGTGCTCAAGCCATTTTAAAAAGCATAAACATAAAAGCATATACCGGTAATATCATAAGTTAAAGGCATAGTCAAAAAAGTGGCAGACATTTAAATCAATTTAAATATAAGAAATGTAGATTTGACACATGTGCACCCACAATCTACAAGTGTAATCTTACTTCATGGAGCTCTTCTACTTTTGCATTGTTATCTTAGATCACAGTAACATTTGTGTTGTATTTTGTATTAACTGTTACAATCTTGTTTTTTTAATTGTTACAATCATTGTTGTTTCATTGTTACAATCTTGTTTTTTGTACAGAGTCAAGATCAAGAATCTGAAAAAGAGAAAATGGAATTGGATATTAATAATACGTTTCAGACTAAAACGACCGGTGCTCAGAGCTTTGGTCCTGAACTTGGACCAACAGATAAGCCATGCACCAGTGGTCAGTCTGAACAACTAGGAGATCAGAGCTCCAGTGGTCAACTTGAACCAACATCAGAAGCATTCACCAATGATCAGTCTGAAGAGACAGGAGATCAGAGCACTGGTGGTTCATCTGGACTGACAGCAGATCACTGCACCAGCATTCATTCTGGACAAACTGGAGATCAGAGCTCCAGTGGTCAACTTGAACCAACATCAGAAGCATTCACCAATGATCAGTCTGAAGAGACAGGAGATCAGAGCACTGGTGGTTCATCTGGACTGACAGCAGATCACTGCACCAGCATTCATTCTGGACAAACTGGAGATCAGAGCTCCAGTGGTCAACTTGAACCAACATCAGAAGCATTCACCAATGATCAGTCTGAAGAGACAGGAGATCAGAGCACTGGTGGTTCATCTGGACTGACAGCAGATCACTGCACCAGCATTCATTCTGGACAAACTGGAGATCAGAGCTCCAGTGGTCAATTTGGGCCAACAGGAGAACATTTAACCAGCGATCAGTCTGGACTGGCAGGAGATCAGATCTTCATTATTCAGTCTGAACAAACAGGGGATCAGATCTCCAGCATTCAGACTGGACCTGCAGAGATGCAGTGTGGAGCTCTGGTTAGTCCACACTCTGGGACTGGATCGTTAGGTCTGCTGAGCATGCAGTACAGAGAAAACAGCTCGGATGACAACTGTTCAGACAGGTAAAATAATAGGACATTTAAAGTCTGTGCTTTGATATCACCAGTTAAGAACCTCCTTCTGCCCTAGCAGCATCTTGCTAAGCTCATAGATCATAATTTTATCATTATGTACATAAAGAATGTTTAAAAAAAACTAGTCTGATTGATTACTTAATGATTAATTCTTATTATTGTTATATGATCCAGTGACTCAGACTCTTCGTCCTCCACATCCTCCTCTTCATCATCCTCAACCTCTTCCTCCTCTGAGCCTTTTAATTTAGTCAAGAACAACGCAGAAGATGACGATGAAGGTGTTGCCATGGGCAATGAGAAAAGGCCTGCACCATTGAAAACCCAAGATGAGCTGCTTATCGATGTGAGGGGAGGAGCTAAGCGGCAATCTATAAACCGAAATGATGTTTCTGTTGGCAAAATTTCTCAATTTCCTTAGCTGTCCACTTGTGATCAGATCAACCAAGACTGATGTTAATACCAGGCATAAAAGAGCATGATTTGTAAGGTATCTTCTGTGTGTGTAGGATCTTCCTGTAGTTGAGAACCTCTTCATCAGCCTTCCAGAAGATACAGAGATGGAGCCCATTGGGACAATATCAAGCATTGTGGAGCAATTAGGTATACAGGCATCTGCCAAACTCTAAGCATACATTTACTGCCGTTCAAGATTTTGAGGTTAATGTTTTTGAAAGATGTCTCTTATGCTTACCAAGACTGCATTTATTTGATTAAAAATACAGTACAAATTAATATTGTCAAATATTATTTTAAAATGTAATTTATTCCTGTGAAGCAATGCTGAATTTTCAGCATCATTGCTCCAGTCTTCAGTGTTACATGATCCTTCAGAAACCATTCTAATATGCTGATTTGGTTCTTGAAAATGTATATGTAAATCAAATAGCTATTTTATATTCATCAGCTAGAATTTATTATTTAACAAGACCAATATTTGTCAACTCATTTTTCCATATTTTTACATCTTAGCTGAGAGACACCATGCAAGTTTTGTCTTGGCTGAATTTAGAGGACATTTCATACAAAACTGATTGATTTTATTTAGTGATTGTGGAGTCATACAGGAACACACCACCACTGCATGAAAACAGCGTGTTATTCACCAAAAACAGAAACTCTGTTGGCAAGGTCAGTAACAATGTTTGTAACATGTAAATTTGTAACAATCTATAAAATGTCTTTAAGGTGGCGATTTACACTATGACTTCTTGTCCAAGACTTTTCATATTGTGCTAAAATCTGTAGTTTTGTGGGACTAAAATGTTGTTGGTTTCTCCTCAGATCTTTGAAGTCTTCGGGCCAGTTTGTCAGCCTTACTATGCTTTGAGGTTTAACTCCCATGACGATATCGACCAGAAAGATCTTAAAATTCGAGATGTGGTTTACTTTGCCCCCAAAATTAAAGATTTCACAGACTACATCTTTACAGAGCGACTCCAAAGGTGAGCACCTCATTATTAAAGGGGTCATATGATGTTGCTAAAAAAAACATTATTTTGTGTATTTGGTGTAATGAAATGTGTTTATGTGGTTTAAGGTTCAAAAAACACATTATTTTCCACATACTGTACATTATTGTTTCTCCTCTATGCCCCGCCTTTCTGAAACGCGTCGATTTTTACAAAACTCATCGGTCTGAAAAGCGAGGTGTGCTCTGATTGGCCAACTATCCAGTGCGTTATGATCGGCCGAATACCTCAAGTATGTGACAGAAATGTTAAATGTGACAAAATGCTCTAGGAATCGATTTTGCTTGACAATCCTCATAAGGCTGCGGTTCTCTCGGTTGGTTGTGCA